GGTTGCTGTGAGCTGTGATGCCATAGCACTCTACCCAGGGTGACAGCTTGAGGTTCTGTCTAAAAAAAAAAAAAAAAATTTCAGATGGCTATAGCTCACCTATTTGTTACATAATCTTTTGGCTAAAAGTAACATTTAAACACCACTGCCTGTCTTCTGTCGAGAAAGGTGAGGTGTATGGTTCTTAGGTAGTAGGTCTTGTATGACACTCTATGTCTGGGATAAGAATGCAAAATTATAAATTTATCCAACTGTCTGTGAAGATTTAAAAAGATCAATGTAATATACGTATTATTCACAAAAGAATTTCTCAGCATCCCAAATCAAAGAAAAGAGGATTTAAAAAAAAAAAATCTTTAGGTCAGGTGATTCATGACTGTAGTCCCAGCACTTTCAGAGGCCAAGGCAGGAGGATCGTTTGAGGCAAGGAATTGGAGTTATCAGTGAGCTGTTATCACACCACCACTCTCCAGACTAGGTGACAGAGCAAGAAAGATCCTATCTCAAAACAGCTGTAACCCAGATTGTGCTGGCACAAGTGTGTTTGAATCCTGCTGATCTTCCCCAGGGACCCAGGACTCCCAGACTCTCTCGGGGCAAGGCCAGCACTTCACATTTTTTTTCTCTGCTGCACACTGTTAGAATAAGAGTCGTCTTAGGACACATAATAAATACACAAATACTAACAAAAGCTGATTAGCAAAAAAGAAAAAAAGGTCCGTGTACACTTTTCAAATATCAGACACCACAGAGAATCAAAAAGTCCTCACAAAATCAGCATGTGTCCTGCAGGTTGGACACCCCCTAGTCTATGTGGATGGGAACAGGGGCCCACTAGCCTCTAAGCCAGAGTTTTTCCACAGAACTTAGACCCTAGAATTTGGAGATGAAATTCGAGATAGGAAGGGTATAGGACTAGATTTATAATCTGTTAGGGGAAAAAAAAAAGGTAACAGGACAAAGCCCAGAATGGCTGTGCCTCATGCTGCACCTGCCTAACAGACCTCAGCATGCTTCATCCTCGGGAAGTGCTCTGAGGCTCACCAGAAGCATGCAGGGGACTGGGCTCTACTTCCCATTCTTATGCACAGGTGAAAAAGAACTGACCCCTCTGCAAGAAACACCCTAATGTCAGTTCTCAGAAGTGAGTCATATGGGGGCTCCTCCCCTAAGTGGGGGGGGGCATGCTGCTCACTTCACTCTAGGAGGTGGGGAACTCACCCCCCCACCCCACACTCAGGCGCCATCCTGCAGCCTCCATGGGGTCCTCACTGGAGCCTGCGGGCAGGGCAAGGATTCCCCTCTCTACTCTGAAGAGGAAGGCACAGGAGACTGCAGGGAGCTGAGAGGGCAGAGCTGAAATACAGGACCTTCTCTCATACCCCCAGGACACTTCTTAAAGAAGACTTTATATAGTTAATGCAAAACAAATGCCTCTAAAATGAAATCAGACACTGAGAAAACGATTTTGCTTCCTTCCTTCAAAGTGATATGAAGAAAGATGAATCATTTCATGTGGTCTATGGATTGAAAATTACTGACCTCTTGTTCCCGCTGAAAAATAACAACTCTGCCGCCCTTGTCTCCCGTTGCCAGAAGATCTCCAGAGTAATTAAATTCAACGGTTGAAATGATGTCAGCTGTCAATAAAATACAGAACAGTTTACCAGACTATGTTTTGGGAGGACTCACTATATCATTAAAACAGAAAGGATGAAAAGAAATATACACACTTTCTCCACAAATACAGACAGTTTTCATGGCAAGCTTGTTATTCCAAGTGGCCACTGTTGGTTCTGGTGCAGACCCTCCCAGCACACGTGGGCTCACCCCACTGGGCCAACCCTGGTCCCTGCTGCACCAGAGTTTATCAAGACTGGGCTGTTCTCATAAGGATCAAATGCAGAAATTTTAAAAGGATATATGAGAAAAAAAATGGCCCTGGAAGAACGTTGCCTAATTTTATAACACATGTCTAATGTTAACTTTTAAATTAAATCTGATTCTTTTTTTTTGCAGTTTTTGGCCAGGGCCAGGTTTGAACCCACCACCTCTGGCATATGGGGCAGGCACCCTACTCCTTTGAGCCATAGGCACTGCCCATGATTCTTATATAATAGGAATAAAAATGTTTTAATATTCTATGCAACAACTTCTGTTGGCTTCTGCGCAAGACAGAATTTTAGAGCCAGCTGTGGCCATGTGCCTATTGTCCCAGCTACTCAGGAGGCTGAGGCAAGAGAATCCTTTGGGGCCATTAGTTTGAATTCAGCCTGGGTGACATGGTGAGATCCTGTCTTTTAAAAAAACCAAAGGAAGAAAAAGGAAAAAAGAAATATAGACAGTACAATTTCTACTTCACGGTCTGGATAAAGTTACTCCCACTTATAAGGATGACATCAGTACCAAGTGAAAAACCTGAGATTTCTGACACCATAACACAGAGACACCTGGGCACTGGCTCCCTGGAGGTGAAGACCATTGGGGAGGAGGAATGATCAGAACAGGCGTGCGCCAGGCCCTTGGGTGCACTGAGACTGCCCCTCTGGTCTCCAGCGGATGCATCTGGATTACAGACAGTAGCTAATAAACCAGGAAAAGCATCCAGGTCTGTGACTTAAACAAAGTCCTTATATTGCTAAGGAAAGGTTTCATGATGGGTTCTGGAGGAAGGTGGTTTCTCTGAAGCTCAGCAGTGGCATCTAACGGAGGTCAGGTGTGGCCTCGGTGTGGCCTGAGGGGCAGCTGGAGCTGTCCTAACACAGCTGGACGTTCACTTTGGTCAGCAGTGCCAGCAAGCCTCAGGAAGGTTGGATCACTGCAAACTCGCCCCCTGGGCACCACTCCCAAGGGCAGACAGGGTGACTGCTGCATACCCACGGTACCATTACAGTCAGAAGTTTGCTAAACAATTACTGTAAATAACTGACTTACAGATGAGAAATGGACCCCAGCTATGAAGCTACTTGAGAACACTCCCAAAGTGGCTACACAAGAGTGTAATGCTCAGAGGCCTGCACAGAGGTTTTATCCACACAGCTGTTAATGAACGACGTCTGCCAGCAACCTGCAGGACCCAGCACCTGGAGGATGTGCTCCTGGCTCTGACCTTGCTTGCAACCTCCCACCTGAGTCCCATGGCCTGGGATTTTTCTCATTTAAAAAATGTTCAGGCTCGGCGCCTGTGGCTCAAGCAGCTAAGGCGCCAGCCACATACACCTAAGGTGGTAGGTTCGAATCCCCAGCCCGGGCCCACCAAACAACGATGGCTGCAACCAAAAAATGGCCAGGCGTTGTGGCGGGCGCCTGTGGTCCCAGCTACTTGGGAGGCTGAGGCAGGAGGC